TGAAATTTTGAGTACTTATTTCAGCAATAGCAGGTGTAACAGCAGAAACTCAACCTAAAAGTGTAATAAAATTATTATTAAAAACACAGATACTCGATGATTTAAAAAAAAAAATTGTTAATTCGTTTTAAAAAATAAAAATTAAAAAAAAGTTATAAATTAACAATTAAAACTAAGTAACTATAAAATAAGAAACTTACTATTTGAGATTGTTTATGTGAACTGTTGACAACAACTAAGATAAAAAAAACAAAAACAACATTAAAACGAAAAATGTTGTTATTCTAAAACTTTTCTCTTGACTTTTAATGAATGATTAGAAGTAGCCAGTTTCAGTAAATAAACTTTACAAATATGCAAAATGTGTCCATTGCTCAAAACAAAATCAGGTTGTTTGAGAGACACAATTCTGCCATTAATATTTAGGTAATCCAAAATACTCTTGAATGTAACAAATGTTGTTTCCAATGAAATTTTTGAAGCTGAAATTGTAAATAATCCCAAAATTCTAATTGTACAACAATAAATAAAAATAATAGATTATTAAACTTTGCTTTCAATAAACAAAACTATTGCAAGATATTTGTGTCACTTTGTTCCTAATTAAAAAACGCACTAATATATAAGTATCACTAACTATCTTGGTTTAAAGATGGAACCACCATTTTATGTAAACTATTACCAGTTTAAAAACCTGAAAGAAAAGAGTTCATATTTTAACTATGATTATTAGTAGTATTCATTTTCCAATAAAAAAGACAACTTGAAATCGCATTAAAAAAATGCCACATTCACTTTTTGGAGATGGTGACCTTTTGGAGTCAGGTGAGTTGTCTAAAATCTAATTGTATCATGGCATACACTTATGCTTAAATACAGCATATCAAGTAATATAGAAGAGACCTTAATATCCAGTAATATAGAAGAGACCTTAATTTAATATAGAATTAGACCTTAATAACTCAATACGATATTGATACTCATCAAATAAACTCTTACACATTTCCATTTTTGTGAACTTTTGCTGATTATTTATAGGTTTTGGTTTAAAAAAAAACAGTTTAAAGAATTTATAGTTAATGGAATAACAATCAAGGTTGCAATGAATCCAAACAAAATAACTTTAAAAATAAAAATAAAATATTTTTGAAATCTTGAAATCAAAAGAGTTTCACTCACTTTCAACGTCATTCTCGGAAAGTGAACAATTTTTTTTCTATTTTGAAAACAAATAAAAATGACGGAAGGAACAAAACCAAAACAAAGTTTTATGCCATATAAAGTAGTTATGTGATATTTTCATAAAAATATTTTGGCTATTTAAATACTTTTAAGTGTGTAAATAAACTTTAGATTAAAAAGTGAAAAGTAAACATCAAAAAGACATACAAATAATAGATGGCGAATTCCAAAAAAACTTTATAAACAAAAACAAACGCAAAAATTAAAACAAAAACGGCCAAAAAAAAGCTAAATATACATAATTTATAAATGCATTTCCTATGTATTAATTCTTTAAGAAAACATAAATAAATACTTGATTTAGATGGAGGAAAGGCTATAATTGCCTTTTTCGCTCGGACGTTTTAGAAAAATTTTTTTTTTCAAAAAAAACCTACAATGAAGTTTTACACTGAAAACTAAACAAATATAAACAAATATTAAAATGCTCCTCATTACATTTAATTCATCATCATTTTTTTAATTTCTATAAAAAGTTTCATGCAAATTGGATGTGTTTAGGTACTAAGGAATCCTTTACCTGAAAAAGCTTTGTTTAAAAAAAAGTTCCCGTGGCAAGTTTTTTTATCAAAAGTAGTCTCAGGATATTGATAATATCTGATTGAAGCCATATGAAGCATAGTACTTTCTATATATGGTTGGAAAGAGGTTGAGTAACACTAATTGATACAAAAAAACCTCAAGGTGATTACTTAACCGTGCAAAAAGATTTAACAGAGCAAAGTTTATAAAAACTCGGTGTTTTTTGTCAAACGTCAAATGTTTTTTGCAGCGCCACGGAGTGTATTTATGTAGATATGGTTATAATTCATTTTTTTATACATCCCCATTGTGTAGAAAAAAAGGATATGATTTAAATCTACGTATCACTATTGGTTCAAGCTACTTCACTCTGTAACGGTTTACTATAATGATGAATATGCCGAAACCAATGACAAGAAATAATTATGATAATTTTTCCAAACTTTGTAGAAATGCATTTAAAACTGTTGCTGAAAAGTCAATGACAGCTGCAGCTGAGGAAATAAAATCTCAGGTTGGTACTGAAATTGGGGTATCAAATGATGGATCATGGCAACATAGAGGTTACTCTTCTTTTAACGGTGTTATCACTACCATATCTGTTGATTATGGAAAGGTATTAAATGTTGAAGTAATATTTAAAAAAATGCAGATCAAGTTTTATAAAAAAATCAAAGAAATCATCATGTTTGTGTCATCAATAATCGTGGTTCATTGTAATCGTAAAAAGGCAAACTAATGTTGAATATGATAGATCGTTTACAAAACTATTATACCATAAGGAAAAATGTAGATGACTTAAATGGCATGAAAAAAACTATATTTGCTAGCTTGTGTCTTCATGGATTAACACAGAATGCCAAAGAGTCTTTCAATGCCATGATATAAGAGCGTCTCTCAAAGTCAATTAGTAGGTTTTAAAAAGCTAAAATTTAGAGTTTTTGATGCTTTTTGCCAGCTTTAACATTGGTAGTAAAGCATCTTTACAAATATATATATATATATATATATATATATATATATATATATATATATATATATATATATATATATATATATATATATATATATATATATATATATATATATATATATATCATTTTAAAAATTCTGATCAGAATTTCAAATGCTAATAAAAAAAGGTGTGCTAAACTAAAAACAACTGAAATATGTAAAAAGCATTTACTTTCAAAAAAAATAAATGTACAAAGCAACAATTTTATGTTGCTTCCTCTTCGTAAACGACAACATAGTTAAATATTTTCACTTTTGGCAACGCCCACTTCAATAAATCGCCAACAAGGGCTTTGATAGTTGCGGCATCATAAACGGTTCTTTCGGATATTAAGCCTTCTTAATAAACAAAAAAGTAAATTGCAATTGTTTGTCTTCTGAACAAAGAAATGGTTTTTATATAAACAATTTTAAAACTTATAATACTTTTATATATATATGTAAATATAAAATTAACTTTTAATTTAATTCAACTTAGGAAAGCTCAATACAATCATTGCCTAACCTTTAATACACTTGTAATGTTGCGTAGCTGTAAACCTAGGCTTGCCTTTTAATCCGTCTTTACTAAATAAGTTTTGGGCTTGTGGCACCATTAACTGGTTTAAAAGATTTTTGACAGTTTTGCGTGCTGTTGCACCACCAATGGCTTTGATTTGAGTGATCTGAAAAATTGTTAAATCGTTAAATCTAATAAGGTCTATAATTTAATAACGTAAAACTTAAATTTTATTTTGCAACTTAACATTTTCACTAACACGATATTTTAAAATCATTAGCAGGAACATAAATGATTCCTGTTTCATTAGAGTTGACCACAAATAACATACAACAACGTTGTATGTTATTTGTGGTTAAATGTTTTTTATCACCTGTTTTAATAGTATATAGAATACACTCCTGGAAAGTTTAATGTCTATAACTTGTTTTTCATAGCACTAGAACTTGCTCTGAGAACTTCCTCTTCATCATTAAAACACCTAAAGTATCTCCTAAAATAATGTTTTGGGTGTATTGCTCCAGCTCATTCAGAGAAAAGCTTAAATGATTTCTTAGAGGAAAAGAGCTACATGTCTTCCAACTCATCACACTTTTATTTGTGAAGTAATTTGCTTGGATTTCTCAAAATCAAAAAATAAAATACCTAAATGTTTGAAACAAATATGTATACTATTCCAGGCAACCGCTATTTTTATTTTTTAAACACTAATATACTTCCAACGCATAAATTATATTTTTACTGTAATGATGAAACTGTTGGAAACAGATTGTCTGATGACGTATGTTCTATGCTGCATGATTTTAAATTATCAATTATCTAAAATATAAAGGAATTTATGTGCTATAAAAATATAAAATGAAAAGTTTCTGATTGATTATATTATCTAGTTCATACAACTGAAAATAAAAATTAAATGTTATATATAAGTATATATAATATATAAATGTTATATATAAGTTTATAAATATATAAATGTTATATATAAGTTTATATAATATATAAATGTTACATATAAGTTTATAAATATGTAAATGTTATATATAAGTTTGATACAAATAAAAAATTCTGAAATTTGCAGAGTTTTAAAGCCAAACCTCTTGGTTGTTTGTTCATTTAAGATATGTTCACTTAGAGAAATTAAAATACTAAAGACTAGTTAAAATTGAATTATATGGAAAATTGGGAATATTTAATTTTATGTGTTTTATACACTCTAAAAAATATTGTGTTAAAACAACACAAGCTCGTGTGTTTGGCAACACAAAACTTTTGTCATATATGAACAACACAAGATGATTTTAATTTAACATATTGCCATGTGTTAAATAAACAAAACAAGACATTGTGTAGGAATTTAAGCATAATCTGGTAATTAATGGTAAAGTTAATTTTTTTTATATTTATACTAATTTTTCTAATAAAACACGTTTAAAAACTTATTTTAGTCGACGCAACATTGAACTAAATGACTAAAGGAAGTTGCGATGATTTTTAATTCAAGTTATATATTATAATGGAGGTATGCTTTCATTTGATTTAAAGCTTTGTTAAGAAATAAAATACAAAAAGTATCTTTAATAACTTCATTTTAACATCAGAACCGAATTTACATGTTATATTAGTATATACTTTATCCATATATTTAAATATTATATTATACTTGCAGTTTGAATATGAAATATTTAAATATATTTTTAAAATTCACTGAAAATATCGTGCACTTTTTTAATTTATATAGTTTCACATAAAATATTTGCATTAGCGTTATCATTAAAAAAATTTTTCAAAGAAGAAGAAGAAGAGGCTAAATTACTAAAATGTCCTAAACTACTGTCTAAAGTTTGTCAGAATCATAAGGCTTTAGCGTTTCTTGACGAAAATGTTTCGAGCTGAATATATTACATATAAGAAATCTCTTCGAATAGTTTACGTGCTTTAGTGGTGGCAACAGAACCAGGCAGTTTATAAATTAATTCTTGAAAAAAATTAAATAAAACTTGTAGTTGCTTTGGATATTCAAGATTAAATACAAAAAAAGACTTGAAAAGTCAGTCAAAGGCAACAGAAACTTTCGGAGGTTTAACTATAGTTGCTTTTCTATCACACACAACGAAAAAAGACAATCCACATGACAAAAGGCTGCTGTTTTGGATTTGAGCAATCAAAAAACATTTCAAGAGTCTCGCCATCCTAAAAAAAAAGTTTGAAAAATTTTTAAGTTTGAAGTAAATCAAATGGAACAAAAGTTTAACACAAATAAAATAATGAAAGAAAGAAGATAGAAGATTTGTTAGTTTAATTAAATTTTATACTTCTCAAAAACTAGTCATACTATTGGTATATTATTTATTAAAGAAACGAATAAAATTTGAAAATGAAATTTGAAAATGAATCATACCTTTAGTTCTTCAATTAGGAAAATGATTGCTGCACTTGCTGAAACACGATATTTTCACGATACTTGCACGATATTTTCCCATTGTTGGCAAGAGATAAACAAGAGCCTTTAGAGGTTTTAGTACCAACGCATCTAAACAAAATTAAAATTATATTATATAACTTTTTTGTTTGAGGTTTTTTAAAGATTATTTATTTGTATTTCTATTTCCTTCAGTATCTGTTTCGCCAATAATGTCTATGCATTTGCCAGTCAGCTTGCAGTATGCAACTATTTGTTTTGAAAATGTTGTTTCTAATAAAACTGCAATATTCTCTGCATAATTTCAATTAATTGATTTAAATTCATCATTTAACTAAATAGAACAACTCAATGTTAAAAAAAATAATTTATATATTGTAAAAATGGAAACTACAAAAACCCCTTCGGAAATTTATCTAGCAACCACTGATCTCAAAATAATAACGTTGTTATTTTGAGATCAGTGTCTAGCAACAAATGAAGTTTTTTGTTATTTACCAACGATGGAGTGTCCAAAAATCGTGGAAATTCCTCAAGCACCATATTAGCTGTTGGCGAATCATTTCGAATCAACATCTGTCGGCATAAACGCGATTTGTTCATCAATATCATTTCCATTTCGATCTGTATAAATAAGATATTAATACGTTTCTTTATTGTAATATACAGCTTTATACTTTTTGGCTAGTTGATGAATTAAAAAACTCATCTATTGGTTTCTTCTATGAGGTTGTGTCAATACTGGATGCAATTGAAAATCACCCTTTAAAAATATTATATTATTGATATTAAAGTAATATCAATAAACACTTCTTAATACTAATTGGAATTCTTTTTATGATTTTTGTTTCAGTAATCTTTATTTTTTTTTTATCTATCCGCTGAAAGTTGCGTCATTAAAGTTATATTTTACTTTACGCCATAGCGTAAGTAACGCCATTACGTCTTTCTGCATAGCTTTTTTTTAACAATTTCTTTCATTTTTTTTTACAAAAACAACTTCATATTTCTCAAAAAACTGACTATAACTTAAAAATCGTCATCTAAGGTGGGAGGATCTCTAGAACTTTCCGTAGAATCCCCTCCACCTTCCTCCGTAGAATCTTTTCCCGTTGCTTCTACTCATCTAATTTTATTACCTTTGTAAAAGATATTTGCAATAAATTTTTGATATAAGTCCTATTCTATATTTAACTCTTACAAAGAAAAAACAACTATTTAATTACAATAACATTATGTAATAAGTATTGAATTGATAATAAAGATAACAAATTGTACAAATAACTGTAGACAAAAACGGGTAAAACCACATATGTCACATTTTTCTCAATTTGAGAAAAATGAAATTTAATGTTTAGTGACATTAGATATCTGTTTATTAATAATATATTTAATTATAAAAAAGTATATTTTTATGATATTTTAGTCCTAACAGAATATATAAATTCAGTTTTTGTGCTAAATACAAGAAATATTAATTCGCAGTGTGCTTTTAAAAACAAGACACTCATTTTGGACATTTGTGATTTTTCCGTTACAAATTCATCAACTCATAAACCACGTTAGCTTGTAAACACGGAGACTCAAAAAGTATCGTAAGATCCTGTCACTGAGAATGTTTAACAATGCAATAAAAATATAACCAGTTAAATAATTACAATAAATGACATTTAGAAATAAAATTGAAATTTAACCAGACATTTCAAAACATAAAATAACGTTTAACATCATAAAGAAGATATATATATATATATATATATATATATATATATATATATATATATATATATATATATATATATATATATATATATATATATATATATATATAGTATATATATATATATATATATATATATATATATATATATATATATATATATATATATATATATATATGTATTCAACACAAGGTTTTTTACAGTGTATTTAATTTTATCTTGTTAATTGAAAATATCTTTGAGTTCTTTTGAATTTATTTTTTAAAAAAGTGTGTGATTCCTGAATATATTATTTTATTTTGAAATATTCAGTTTTATATATATAAAACTACATATTTCAAAATAAAACAATATATTCAGGAATCACACACTTTTTTCAAAAGTATAAACTCAAAATAACTCAAAGATATTATCAATTAACAAGATAAAATAAAATACATTCTAAAAAAAACTTCTGTTGAAAACCAACACTTGATCTTGTGTTGCTTTCATTTAACACAAGTTAACGTTAAATTTTATTACCATCGTTCTAAAGCGCATGCGTTAAATGCAAATTCAACTTTTTTGCTAATACAAGGTATGTGTTATAAGTTTTTCAAAAAACGCATGCGTTAAAATTAAAAGAAGTAGTAAAATTTAGAATAATTTGAAAATTGTGTATATTTTTAAGTTTTTCGTTTGTATTTTTTACTTTTAACATTTTTATTAATATTAGAAGAAACAATGGGTTACTTTTGTGTATTTTGTGAGTCAATCTTATAATCATTAAAGGCTGTAAGTGATCTTTTAAAACATTTTCATTATCGCCATGGTATTTCTTCAACACAAAATTGTAAAATTCCTTGCAGACAAGGTGGTTGTTGCAGAACATATGACAGTGTCCCTTAAAATTTATTTGTATAGAAAACATCCAAGTGATCCTTATAAAAAATTTGAAAGTATAAATATTTTTCCTGTGGAAAAGAATGATATGCTAATAGATCAGCAAGTTAGTTATACAGCAGCACATGTTGATAAAGATAACACTAGTAATATTTATTCAAGTGTATTATATGGGGAAAATATAAAAGAAATGATTTTAGATGTTTTAATGACTCTTAGATGTCATAACACAAGTGAAGTTGTAATTCAGTATGTAGGAAAAATTGTTCAAAATATTTTATCCACAGTAATTGAAAGTGTTCAAAAAACAATGCTTAATAATGAAGCTGATGCTGGCAGAGTAAATGATGTGCTAAATGATATTGAATATGAGTGTGTAAAATGTACTTTAATTACATCTAATTACTTACAAAGAAGATACTTAGAATAAAAAGGGATGGTTTCACCTATTGAAATAACTGTTGGGTTCAGATCTAAGATGCATCATAAAGTTTATAAAAATAATATGATAAGTTATGTAAATGAAACTATGCAATATATTATAATATAGAAATGGTTTCTAGTATATCCTATACTAGAAACCATTTCTATGGTGCTTTCAAAGTTCACTGTTGATAAAATAGATAGTAACATTAGTACAAAATTAAATAAATTAACTTGTTATAGTGATGCAGAACAATATAAGAATCACCATTTATATCAAAAACATCCAAATGCTCTTCAGCTTCAAATATACTGTGATGATTTTGAAATAGTAAATCCTTTAGATTCAAAAACTAAAGTTCACAAAGTTTATGCTGTTTATTTGTGTATAAAAAATGTTAACAGAAAAAGATGCTCTAAATTGGCCAACATGTATCCTGTAATTTATTGTTTTTCAGCTGATGTTGCAAAGTATGGATATAAAAAGCTTCTAAAGCCACTATCAAAGGACTTGTTAGCTCTAGAAAAAGGAGTTCAATTAGATATAAATGGAACTTACGTTTGCATATTTGGTGCAGTAGTTATGTGGTCTGGGGATAATCTTGCATTGCAGCAGATTTTTGGATTTAGTTCAAACTTTAATGCTAATAAGAGCTGCCATTACTGCTATACAAAAGAAGAACAAATGCAACACACTTTTTATGAAAAAGATGTAGACTTAAGAGCTAAGAGCGTCACATTTCTGATTGTCAAGTACTTTTTAGTGATACTGAATATTTTAAATTGTCTGGTGTATATAAACAAAATCCCTTATCAGAGCTTAAGTATTTTTCTGTTCCTGATAACATTTGCCCAGATTCAATCCATGACATACTTGAGGGTTGTTTACAGTATGAATTAAAAATAGTTCTTCATCACTTATTACTAATTGATCGCCTGTTGGCCATTGAGGAATTCAATGGCCGTCTGCTAACTTTTAATTTTTGGCATTGATAAAAAAAAACAGGCCATTGCCAATAACACGTGAAAAACTTGTTTCTAACGACAAAAAGTTAGGTATGAATGCAACTCAAAGTTGGTGTTTAGGAAGATTTTTTTGTTTGTTGCTTGGGGATGTTGTAGAAACTGATAACCAGTGTTTTCATCTAATTCATTTACTACTGCAAATATGTGGAATAATCCTGGCTCCAAAATTGACCATTCATTTAATAACTTATTTAACAGAGGTGATTAGCGTTTATCACAAGTTGTTTACATAAATATTTTCTGGACATACTGTTATTCCAAAACAAAATTTTCTTGTTCACTATCCCACCTAAATTTTACAATTAGGACCTTCGCCAAGTTATTGGTGTATGCGATTTGAAGGTAAATATGCTCCTGCAAAGGAGCAATGTCACATTTTGCACAACTTTAAAAATATTTACAAAAGTATTGCATGGCGTCAGCAAATACAATTACATCTTGATTTTTCAAATTTTGCTAGTATACTCAATTTAGAAATAGGTCCTGGTCTTGAAATGATGCCTGCTTGCTTATCGTTGCCTACGTCTGTTTTTAGTGAAATTTCATTATATGAAAAGTGCTTTTGTGCAAATTATTTAATCAAAGATGGTGTAAAGTACATGCCAGACTTTATTGTAGTTTTAGGGCTGACCAAACTTTGTCTTCCACGTTTTGGACTTTGTATATCTACTTGTCTGTGAAAATGAATGCACACTAATAGTTGAAAATATTTCAACCATATATTATGATGCTCATATTGCTGGGTATAATGTTTGTAAAATATCTAAATATACAGCTGTTAAAATAGACAATTTATTTGATTCTCATGTACTGTCATTGTCAACTGGCTTCAGAAAGTATTCTGAAGCAAGTTTTGTTATAACAAGACATGAATATATTAACCTGGATATACTAGCATAATCTTTTATTTTTGTTATTGATTTGATTTTGTTATTGATGAAACAAAACTATAATAAGGAAATATTTACAAAACTTTTTCAAATTTATTTTTTTTAAATTATGTATTTGTTTAGTAAATTGATAATTTCATTCTAAATAAGCAATATTGGTTCAAACACGAATAATGTTTTTTGTTTTCTTACTTTTAATTAACGTTTTTCATAATAATGAAAAAGGCACATTTATAGTTGAAACATTTTCAACTATAAATTATATTGAACAAAAAGCAGTATCAAAATATTGATACTGCTTTTTGCTCAATAAAATTTTCAGAATGTTAAGATTTTATAGAGCCAACACTTATTTTTAAGAGTTATGTTTATCTTATATAAGAACTCTTTTTAATTTAAGAGTTATGCTTTGCTCAATAAAATTTCTAAAATGTTGAGATTTTTTTAATGCAAACACATAGATTGCCGCAAATCTGTGTGCTTTATAGAGTAATACAGGGGATAAAGTGAAATAATTATGATATTTTTTATTTTGCTCTTAATTAAATATTGAATAAACTTTTTGCAAATATTTAAAACTACCCAGCATGTTGTAAAAATATTTTCCTGAATAAGTACTAAATTTTAATAATAAACCTTTCTTTTTTTTTTTTGTTAAAAAATGGCCACATTTTTCAACAGGAAGTGAGTTAGTTTTTTACGCCTTTATATATTTTTTCAAAATTAGCAATTTCCTATAAAAAGGTATGAGCTGAAAACGTTAGCGGGAAATGAAATAATTTTTTTTTTTACTTTTATTTAGGTGCCCCAAGAAGTCCTTACGGTCTTATCACAGAGCACCGCGGATGAGCATTAAATGGGAAGTTCCCGCCTTCTTCCTAACCGATGTCGCAAAACTTGTTTCTAAGGAAAATGCGCAACCACTACGCCACAGCTGCTCTTAATTTAATTTGATTAAACAATAATTTAACTTTAGTACATGCACATTCTAAATTAGTTAGTTCTAAACTGACCAATTAATCTTTATAAACTATTGCATAGATTAAAATCGATTGTTTTCTGTTAATATAAAGTGTGCTTCAAAAAACTTTCCCGGAAAAAATAAAGAAAAATAATACACTGAATAGGAAGTTTCTTACTGTAGCAATAGTAAAAAGAGGTAATTTTTCACTAAATGATGATGCTACATCAGTAAGTATACCAGTAGTAACTTTTTAAAGACGGGTCCATAGAACAGGTGAAACAATTAGCAGCGTTTTAAACACGAGATTAACACAACAACTTGAATCAACTCATGTAGATACGCTCTTCAAATTATCCTGAGATTTGGTAGAATGTAAAATGTGATCACACTTGATTCTAACTGTTTACAAAATCAAGGTCAATCTAATCAAAGTTCCATTCGTGCACCATGGAGAAACCATGCTGTTTGGCATAGAAAAACTGACCATGCTGTTTGGCATAGAAAAACTGCTCTTAAGACCAAGGTCAATCTAATCAAAGTTCCATCGCTGCACTATGGAGAAATTGTTACAAACTTTTTATCAACTGGTGAAGTCAATAATTTAGTATCAGAGTTGTTGAGAATATTTCATCACTTAGAGTCGCAATTATTTCTTCCTGCGCGAAAGAAATATTAGTAATGTTTTTGTTGTCGTTGTTTTTGTTATTGCTGTTGATGTTATCAATATGTTGAATGTAAAACATTTGAAACACTATCATCTTAATCTGAGATTTGTCATCCCAACAACTAGAATCTAATTACACTAGCACCATTTCAACTACACCATTTCAATTATCACTGAAATGGTATTGTTAATAAGAGCCTCTGCTGGTTTAAAGATTAACTATTTAATAGATCTTAAACCATTGGTTTTCAAAGCACAATATCTGAAATAAGAAAAATTTTATGTGGTGTACCTCATAGATTAATATTGAAGTTTTTACTAATTGTTATTTACTTCAATGACTTTGTATCTTGTTGATCAAATTCAAATGTTTATGTTGATAATACAGTTATATAACAGATTTATTTGTGATAGAACTACATCTTTCCGGTATGAAAGAAATCATTAAAACGGCGTTTGAAAAAAGAGCTGATTCTCAACCTAGGAGTCAGTAAACAAACGTGGAGTCCATGCTGTTTCGTACAGAAAAATTGCTCTCAAGATAACCAAAGAATATGAACGTTTCCTACAAACTTAACTCGATATATTTACCTTGAGCTATAAATACCTTGGTATCGACCTTGACCTCGATACTTTTTAATACCTCTTGCAGTAGAATGCATTTTCAAGTCAACAATTATACCCATTTTAATCTAACATGGAAATCTTTGTCTCAACCCACCTAAATCAAAAACTGATAATCTAAATTCTTAGCATACACGTGCATCTTGTATATTAAATGTAAATAGTAATAAAAAAAAGTTCAATACAAAACTACCATTCTTTAAAACTTATAATGCATCTTGTCTATAAACAAAGCAATTTTTAGTTTACCATTTTAAACTTTGGCAACTATTTTGAAGTGTTCAACCATGCAAAAGCAACAAGAAATAACAGCCACCTAATTAAAGTTCCAAAACACCGACTTTAATATGCTCAAAGTTGTTTCTACTACTTTTCTGTTAGAATATATAATGATCTACTATTAGAACTTAAGAAAATTAACTTGATTGAAATTGATAATAAGTTAAAAATTATTTTAAATAGTTGTTTTTATAACATTTTGTAATGGTTTTACTTACTTTAATTCATTTCAAATTTTATAACAGAATTGTAATGGCTTTATTACTTTAATTGATTTAATCTTTTATAACAGAATTGTTATTATCTCTGAAGTAATTTACCATGTATAAATATTTGTTAAAATAAAATTAAAAAAAAAAGAAGAATATACACCAACAACATCTTCAAAGACAACTCACATCTAGCCTTCAACTCTCTCGCAACCAACATTGAATTTGTAGTTTCGGTTAATTAAAAGGAGCTCAAAAAGAAATGAAAAAACAGTTGACATAATTGTAAAAGGTTTTATTGCATCAAAAATCTTTGCTAAAATGATGACTCAACTCGACCTGTTGAACCTCTCGACAATTTAAGTTTTTCACAATAATAATTTTTTTGTTAATTAATTGGTCTAATTGTAACCATTAAATAACGCTCGAATTTCTAAAAAATTTTAAGAAAAAATTAAAAATCTATTTTCTTTAATATAAACTTAAAATTATCAATATTTTATTTGACCCATTTTTATACTATGTTTATAAAAATGTAAAACAAAAATTACATCATTTATGATTAAAAAGTATACAAACTTGCAATATCGGATTGAATTTTAATAATGAAAAGGTTCAAAGAGGAGTTTGTGGTAACTGCTGTAAATTGTTCATAAAGTTAAATCAAGATGACTTTTTTTTTTCTTTAGCTGTTGAATTTCGATTCCACTAATATATTGAGCCACTCAAAATAATCTGAAGTGAGAATGATTTGCAGAATTAAAAACCAAAATTTTAATTAAAAACATCCAGTAAAAGACAAAAAACAACAACAAAAAAACAAGTAATACATGCTTAATCATTGAGCTTAAAAGCTTTTTCTATAAATTTTCACTCAACAAACTGAAAAAAAAAAAAGACGTTAAAAGTTCTATAAATTATTTGCGAAAAAACTATTAAGGTCGCAGTTACTTCAAACTTTTTTACAGCTTGAAAAATACATCAAAATTTGGAAAACTTCGATTTTAAATGATTCAATGACGCTGAAAATTTGCCTCATCATTTATTTCCAAAAAGTAAAGGAAAAATTTTTTAAGTTTAATAAAAACCAGCAAGAGAATATGCAGTTAAGGTTAGTTAAAACCTTGTCAAACTAAATATTAGTTAAGTAAAGTTGTAGATAGAACTTTGGCACATTAGCAGTTCGCTTGTTTTACTCTATATCGCAGTAAATTTCAGTTTATTTTGTTCGTCATGATTTAAATAGACTAATAAAAAGATAAAGTCAATTTTGGCAAAAATGTCAGTCAGAACCTTGTCAAACCAACGCGACAAAATGAAGTTTAATTTAATAACAACTTTTAACTTTGTTTTCAACGTGTTTTTACTTACTTATTAAAACTTGTTGGTGACTTTAAACTTTGTTAAACAAATAGGAACCATGATCAGGGGGTCAAAAGGTTTGAGAGTTTTTTTGCTCCAAATAATATGGTAAAGTTGTCCTGTTGCTTTTGTGTTATAATTATTTACAGTATTGGACAAAACATTTGCAACCAACATCGAACAATGCTAAAAAGTGTTCCTAATTTTACATGTCTTAAAAACGAAACGAACTATACTACCACAGCGAACAGTTCAGGAGTCTAGAGTCATAGCATACCATGACATGAGCAATCAGCTGACACGTGACAGCACACAGGCAGAATTTCGTTGATAAGTGCTATTTTGCAGCAGACAAAACAAGTGCAACTTTTTTGGTTTGTTTCTTAAGTCTGGTCCGTGTCAACGTCACGGAAGTTTTTTAATAATTAAAGGAAGTATCCAGAAGTTTCCAGAAGCATGCAGAAGCTTCCAGAAGTTTCCAGAATAAGCATCTAGAAGCATCCAGGAGCATCTAGAAGTATCCAGAAACATTCAAAAGCATCCAGGCGCATCCAAAAGCTTCCAGAAGCATCGAAAAGAAGCATCTAGAATCTTCCAGAACAGGTTCACACAGGTTCATTTTACTATATAAGAGACATGTAAACAGACATGTAATTCAATCAGTATATGGAAGTCAATCAGTCAGTATTATCAAGACAGTTTATCGAAGTTAGTTTTATCAAAGTGTTTTATCGAAGAACATCAATACAAGAAGTAAAATACAACAAGTGTTTCATTACATCAATACAGTCCACATCCAACCAAGACGTTGTGTTCCACAGAGCATTATTGTATCATCACAAAGTAAATGTAACACGGTAAGCCTTGAGAAGCGTGATTATTTATTTTTATTATTTTTCAAAAATGGCTCCCGACAGTCTTGGATTGGAACTAAGAAAGAAAATTATTGGCGATTACGTAAGTGGAATGTCACAAAAAAGTATTTGTGATAAATATCGCGTGAAAAAATGGACCGTATCAAGACTAAGTTCCAAATATCGTTCTACGGGGAAGTTGGTAGCAGATAACAAATGTGGAAGACCGCGTTTCACTACTTCTAGAGAGGTTCTATGATCGTCAAATCCGTCAAGAAGGATCCCTGGATATCATCACTCGAGATACAAAAGCAATTAGAGCTGCCTGTATCGGATCGAACAATCAGACAACGTGCTGTTGAAGCCGGATTGTTTTCTCGACGCCCTGCAAAGAAACCGCTGATTTCACTAAAGAACCACAAGAAAAGACTCCTGTTTGCTACACCTCATATTGACTGGAATGTGCAGAAATGACGAACTTTCCTGTTCAGTGATGAATCGAAGTTCAACATGATTGGGAGCGATGGCATTTGCCGTGTACGTCGACCGGCCGGAAAACGCCTTGATTCACATTACTGCCATAAGACTGTGAAGCATGGTGGAGGCAATTTAATGGTCTTAGGGTCTTTTTCTGCTAATGGTCTAGGTCCAATACATTGAATCAATGGAATAATGGACCGTTTCATCTATAAAAATATCCTGAAAGATGTTATGTTACCTCATGCTGAATAGAATATGCCAATAAAATAGGTTTTTCAGCAGGACAACAATCCGAAACACACTGCAAAAGTAATCAAGCAATGGTTTCAAGACAATCACCTATCGGTGATGGATTGGCCGTCTCAATCTCCGGATCTCAACCCTATCGAGAACTTGTGAGAGATAGGGTTGTCAACCGCAGAATTAATCGCAAAGGTGTTTGTAATAATGATCAACTGTTTAAACAAATCCAAAAGGCCTGGGCAACGATTCCACAAAGTTTCATTGATCACCTGATCGAATCTATGCCTCGAAGATGCAAGACTGTGATCTACAACAAAGGATTCGCCACGAAATATTTATAGCGAAATACAGCTTGGTCAACATTTTGTGGAGTTCAACTTTTTTTTAATAATTTTGATTAATTTATTAACTTTCGTGTACAAATAATGAACTTTGTGATGAATAAAACTTGAAGAACGTTGTCTCTAAACAGTTACATAGTTATTTCTCTAAATTGAAAAAATGCAGCATTTTTATATAAAGAAACTAAATTAGCATTATTTGGTTGCACTTGTTTTGTCCGATACTGTAGGTTATTTTAAAAAAAAGCGTGTTAAAAAATGCTCTGGCACCAGATCTAGAATATGTAGCACAAGAAGTATATTTTAGAAAATGTTTATTCCAATAAGGGTTAAGCATGAGTAAATTTGTCTTTGTTGTACTTTTGTTTTGAAGCACGTTTTTGACGCAAAGCAGTTCTTAACTTTGATTTGTGAATACTTTCCTGCGATATGTTAAAAGTGAGTTTCCACTCATCCGTTTTTTTACGGGAACGGGATCGGAAAGGAAAAAATTTTTTTCCTTTTCCTTTTTTTTCTTTCCGGAAAGGAAAAAATTTTAATTTGTCCGAATTAAAACTGCGCATGCTCAAGTGATTATTTTTCCCTATCCTATCCCGTTCCCGTAGAAAAACGAATGAGTGGAAACTCACCTTACATACATGTATAAAATAAAAGTAAAGAAGATTTAGATTATTTTTAAACATTAATGTTCTTTCTTTGTTTCTTGTAGTATCCTTAAATATTTGCGTCTTTATATAACTACTATGGTATTTCAATGAGATTCATTCTTCCGAGAGATTCATTTTTCCAAGAGATTTATTCTTCCAAGAGATTCATTCTTCCAAGAGATTCATTTTTTTAAGAGACATTTTGGTCTGAATCCCTAAAAATTAATCTGAGCTCTTTTAATATATTAAATTTAGAAAATTTTAGAAAACTATGGTTTTCTAAATTTTTCTAAATTTTTAATTCTTAATTTTTGTTTAATTTCTAAAGTTTTTAAAATTACTTATTCATTGTTTTTAGTTATTCGTTAAACACTTATTCGTTGTTTGTAATTCGTTTTTAGTTATTTGTGATATTTTAATTAATTATTCGTTAGTGAATAATTTTTTTTAAACCATATATTTAGTTTTTTTACTTCAATATTGTATATTAAAAAGGTCTTTAATTTAAGAGAAAAATAAGTTTGTACCATCTGCACACTAGCTTTGAAGATTATTTGAAGCGTTTTAGTTTTAAAGATTATTTGAAGCATTTTAAAGCCTATTTGGAATATTTTAGTTTTAAAGACATTTTGAAAGATCATTTGTGTAAATTAGAAACATGAGTAAGAACTGAATCTCGGGGACACCGCATCTAATTTTTAATAATTTTGAGAAGCCATTTCAATCTGAAATAACACTCTGTCGAGAACCATTTTAATTTTTTGACTTTTTAAAAATCTACACTTTAGCTTGTATTTGTTTAGAAGAAATCTGCATAGCTTTAAATTTCCTGTCTTTCAATTATAAGTTTTCTATTAATTTATTAG